TATTAGTTGTTCTCCAAATATAGAAGATGATGCATCTTTTACCCTAAAGTTGCCAAAGAAAGAATCTCACTGTTACCCCCCTCCATCCTCTTTCACTATTGTGCTATGTTACTGCCATCAAACAGACAGCTATTGATGTTGACTAACAGCAATTGGCATACAATTCCCAAAAATCCTAGCTAACAAAAACTGCCACACAGTATTATTTTCATTTCAGTATGTCTGAACAGTCTGGGAGAAGAGATACAACAGTAAGAACATTATAAACATTTTATTTAACAGAACAGCAACCATTTGATAAACACTTGACAAGCAACTGACTGACAACACCTGAAAGTTTCTTTTTTTAACATATTCTCTATCATTAATTTGTGCAAATTAAGTGGCATTTTAAATAACGCTAAGAACTGACTAAAGCAAGTGTAGCATTTTGCCTCTAAAAAAAATGTAAAGAATCTCCTTTTTGAAAATTAAAAAATAAGCCTACCAAGCCTTGGTCTTGGCCTGAAGACCATCTCTAATCCTTTTACTTCTAATGCACAGTTATCCTGTAGCAATGACCCCCATGGAACAGATAAAGAAATTGATTGGATAAATCCATCTGTGACTTCCAGAGGTGCATCTGCAGACTCCAGGATCTCATTAAGACACTAGAATAAGATGATAATAATAATAATAACAATAATAATATACACATCCATAGCTTTGCATGCAACAAGTAAAATATATTGAGGCTACGAAAACAAATGGTAGTCAGAAAGACAATAAATTAGCCATTTTCAAGTATTTTGATTCCATTGTCATTTATTTTGCATTAATGACTTGGCTTTCAGCATAATACAGATTTCTCTGTGGTTGCTCTCTGTATAAGATGTATTTTTGTACCATACAAAAAAAAAAAAACAAAACAAAAAAAACCACACCAAAAAAAAAAGAACCCTGCTAGCTTACTGTTACAAATACTATGGTACTGACATAGTTAATCTGTTGCTCCTCTGGCAGTACTTGAGGAAAGCTGAACAGACTGACAGCAAAAACCTAAAAAGCATCTGGTTTCTGTGGCAAGAGTAACTTGCTAGCATGTAATTTCAATATAATATTCATGGTACATTTCTCTCTGGCACTGGAACACAACCATTTATTCACATCTTTCTGTATAACATACTTTCCATTTCTAAATCACAGTTTATTGTGTTCAATGTTGAGCACTAATTTAAAAATCAAAGCTCAGTGAACAGACAAATATTCTACACAGACTGTTCGGCTCATCCAATCCTTAATAGTGACATTAGAAATAAAACTACAAGCAAGTTGCCCTCAGTGTCATACAGACTAAGTGAAATTTATTAGAGAAGTTTTCCACTATCCTCAGAAAAGACTCACATTACATAGATTTCATAACATCCATACAGAGGAAACATATTCTTCACACTTATGTTGGGGGGAAAAAAAAAAAAAAGCAAACCCCTGAAACCTGTTTGAGCCCCAATTCAAAAATGCAGTTAAAACTGAAATTATTGAACAAGAACTACCTAGGCTGCTTTAAGATAAGAAGAAACAACCTAAACTACACACTAAATTTGTTCAATGGAACTTTCTAATACAACCTTCCTGCGTTGAACAGGGCCACAGATTTTACCTAAGAAAATGCATATAATTGACATTGTAAATTTGGGGGGGGAGTTGTCCATTTTAATTATATTTAAAATGTTGTTCTAATTATATAGAATAGTTTACAAATAAAAATTGCCAAAAAAAGGTTTTCAGAAAACATTTTTCATTCCTATGTCTCCAGGTGCAACTTTCTCATCATGCTAACTTGTTGCTCTGCTTATGCTCTTAATAACTTTGCTGTTAGAATTTTGTTTGCTTCCATGTTCAGTTTTTCTAGTTTCTGTTCCAAAGTCCACTCAAGCAGCAGAAAAAGACACCAACTTTAAAGAAACCAAACCAGAAGCAGTTCTGCTGGGAAATATAAGAATCAATAATCGAGATTCAGTTTCATTAAACTTGGTTTTGAGCTAAATATAAGAATTAAAGGTGCAGTAATAGCATAAGGCAAAAAAAAAAAACACATATATTTCGCATGAAACCTGCATCTGAAAATATCAGACATTCATTTAAATTACTTGAACCTTTACAAAATAATTTGTAAAGGTTCCTACAGCAAGAAATAAGCCAGTTACCATATTTTAAATAAATCTGATTCATGTCTTTTTGCTACTAACATATATGGCAATAAAAATGAATGTATTTTAATCCACTCATTTTTTAATAGACATTTACTATCTAAAAGCAAAAATCAAGTATTCTTATAGCTAAATTACTTTATAAACAAGCCAGTTGTTCCTTGAAAGCAGCAATTAGAGCATTCCAAATGAAATTTTAAAACTGAACACAATACTCCTGACAGGACTTGTTCCCACACTACTGACTGAAAGTCTCCAGGTGGAAATCAAGACAATGCTAGTAACAAAAGAACTATTCAATGTGTATTAAATTTCAGCCACAATCATGGGTTACATTTTGATTTTTCTAGACAGCCCAGGTCCCAAGAAGCAAAGAGGTTACAGTAATAATCCCAGGTATTCCTACATATCTCTAGGATCTATAAACACATACAGTGTTGGCTAAAATACCTACAATGTTAAGATGAACATTAGTACTGACAAAAATATACAAGAAAATGTGTAAAAATACAGTCATCCTGGTGATTCATAGAGAACAAGCTTACAGTGACTAGTGGGGGTGGTGAGGGGAGGGTGAAAGAGCTGTAGTACTTCCATGACATTTGTTTTTGCAATCTGTCATTCATGAGAAAGTCACATGCAGAGAACCTCAAACATGTCATTGTTTACAAGCGAAAAATTATGATCTACGAATGGGGAAGATAACCTGAACATTATTGTATACACATTTAATCACTATCACTGTTTAATCACATAATTAACTGTTCATTTAGTACTGGTCCATAACTGGTACTGTTCCAAAGTTTTCACATTTTAAACGATGTCACTTTGACTATGAAGAGTGGGGCGATACCCACTAGAGGGCATAATAATTCAATTCAAGCAAGACAGCCTTACTGCCTGCCTCGGAAAACAAGTTGCACACAGCCAGCAAAGAAAAGACGAAAACAAACAAGCAAACAACGAAAAAAACACCACACTAAACTAGCAGTAATATTGAGTATTTCTGCAGACCTATGTCTCCTGCCACTTTCACACATATTTTTGCATCATGAACTGGAAAAGCATTATTTGAAAACATCACATTCTCCCAAGTATGTTAAAAATGTAGCAGCATGGCCTAATACCAGAACATAGTATAGTAAAAATGTGTTTTGAAAGTACTCTCTAAAGCAATAAGCCTGTGTACCCAGCTCATCATCTGTGCTACCCTCGAAGTCAATGACTGACTCACAGCACCGCTCAGGGCTCCTCATGACAGTCACTTGACCGGCAGGTAGAATTCGGTAACATCGGTAATTAACCCAAGGAACTTCATGAAATATTACAAACACGGACACTGACCTTTGGATTACTACAGTAGGCTGAAAGTATGCAGAACTGTGTGTGCACAGACGCACACACATACACAGATATAAAAACACACACGAGGACTGAAAAAAAGTTTCAGCTGGTTCAAAGCACGACAGCCCATCTGCTAATCAAACTCCAGCTAAAAACAGCTTTACATTTGTCAAGTATTTTCACCATTGCAAGACTAGGTACAATTTTTAAGATATCTAGGTGGACTAAGCTCAGTATAACACTGTCAATAAGAACCGAGATACCTCCAAGATGAAGATAAAGCACAGACAGCACAAGATTACTTCATGTTATCATCATCGTATGTAGTCAGTAAACATACTCCTCAGTAACTACAGCAGCAATTTCTGGTAGTTTGCGCTACAGTAGCTCTTTCTCCCCCAAATATCAGCAGCTACTGCCTTTTCTTTTTTTGTTTCCTTTCTTATACTTAAAAATAACAAAAAGTGTGACTTGAAAAACATGTCTGCAGTAAATGCCTAGATTTTTTTTTCCCCTTTTTTAAAAAGCTAGGATAACAGAGAAGAATTATGGATGAAATGCTAATTATGGCTCTAACTTTTTACATAAAGGAGGCTGGGTACTGAAAATAAAGAGGGTGGTAGCGGGGGGCAGGGAATCAGCTGGTCCCTCAGATGCAGGAGGAACCGAGGGGGTGAGGCGACAGCATCTCTTACCCACTTATCCAGAGGGACCTGCGTCAAGGAGCCGGTGCCTTGGTAGAGATCCAGACTGAGCTGCTCTAGGCTGAGCTTTTCCTGCAAGAAGTGGCCCAGGTACCTCTGCAGCAGGTACCTGCAGGCCCTCTTCTTGATGGACTCCGAGAAAGGCCACGGCATGGCGGCTGAGCGCCGGGGGCCGCGGGGGCAGGCAGAGGGCCGGGGCCGGAGCTGACCCCTCCGGCGGGCGGACAGACAGAGGTGAGCAGGAGCCGCCAGGCCCAGCCTCCGCCCCCCCCCCCCCAGCGCGAGTCACCCCAGGAGCTTCCTGCTGCCAGGCGACGCCTGCCCCCCCCCCCCCAGCCGCCCCTCACACCACCGGCGGGGCGGCACTGCCTCCCCTCAGGGAGAAGAGGCGCCGACAGGTAGCTCCATCCTCACTCGGACACCGTCGCCGCCATCTTCTCGGCAGCCCGGGAATGCGGAGAGGGCCGCCGCGGCCACGCTCTGCGCAACGAGACGCAGCGCTAAGCGGGAAGGGGGCTAGTGAACGAGCAGAATCACGCCCCAACCGCGTCAGCTCTGCACCGCCGGCGAAGACGGCCGACCTGAACCGCGCTAGGCTGTTTGCCTCCTTCCTCTCCGCGTACCCCCCGCCTCCCACCAAACGCCGTCACCGGCACCGTGACGTCCTCACGGAAATGGCGTTACCGAGAGGAGGAGGCGGGGGAGGAAGTGATCGCAGGCGGTGGGGAGTGATGGGTGTTGCATTGGAGGGGCCTCCGCTGGTGGGTGTCGCCGGGATCGCTCTGTTGACCGGTGGCGGCTGGGGCCGCCTCTCTGGTGAGCAGCCCTGAGGAAAGCGGCGGGGCGGGCTGCTCTCCGCGGGCAGCGCATCTCAGGGCGGAGCAGAGCCTTCTGACGTCGGACGGCAGTGCCTCGACTGCCTGCCGCCGGCGCTGGTAGGTATGCTCCCGGGACGCGGCGCTCCTGGCCGCGCTCCTCGGGGCAGCGGTGCAGGCGTGATCTATGGCTGTTCTGCTGTCAGTGAATCAGAGTGATTCGCTGCTAATGAGAAACTGCGGAGATCGGTGGCCAGCTCCCCTGTTGCCTTCAGTCTTCGGAATATATGTGTAGATCCAAGGTGGTATTTGTTAGGGAATGATAAATCTCATGCATCGAACGTCTTGCGTGTTGCAGATCGGTTATAGCCAGCTCCTTTTCTATCCTGGCAGCAGCTACCAGAGCACTCAGGGCCGCTTCCCAAGGAGCTTTCCCCGGTGCTGGGGCAGGCTTCCTTGCGGGTAGGTTGGCTGAGGCCTTCTGGCCACACTGGTACCTGAGAAGCCTAATGCTGGATTCGCGGTGGTCACACCCGAAGAGTCTGTCCCTTCTTAGTAACAACAGTCCCTCACAAAGGGGAAATGTATTGACAGTTGTGCATAAAAGCTGAATAGGAGAATTGTGACTCTGAGCAGAAAGCTGGTGTTTACGTGTCTATACTCTCTGAGAACAGACTTTGTTCTAAGTTTTTCTAAAATTCACCAATAGGTTTTTATTTTTTACAGCAATTGATTTTAGTTTTTCCAGGCTACTGCGTTCTGGATCAGCAAAATGCAGAATTAATTACTGCTGAATCATAACAGTCTTATACAACACCATGTGAGTTAGTTGCATAAGAAGCAACTTCAGCAATACTGATACTGCTTCTACATGCTAATGTAACTTTCTTTAGCACTTGTTCTCAGCTTGTTCATCTTGGGTTTGAGTTCTCTGGACTGTCATGAGTTCCAGAAGTCACTGTGTCTGTATTTTCCTTTTTTGGACAGTGTTAAATATGTCTGTTTAAGATATGTCTCTTTGTTTTACAGTGTTAATATATATTGAGTATAGTGGTATAATAAATCTAAAATAAATGTTTCCATATGCAGAATGGAGACCAATTGCAGTCCTGTGGAGTTGCCTAATAACACAGAGTTTGAAGAGGATCCTGATTATAGAGAATTTGAAGGAACAGATGTGAAAGATATGAGACTAGAAGCTGAAGCTGTTGTGAATGATGTTCTGTTCGCTGTCAGCAACATGTTTGTCTCGAAAACCCTTCCTTGTGCTGAGGATGTGGCATATATCAATGTGGAAACCAGGGAAAGGAACAGATACTGCCTGGAGCTCACCGAAGCAGGACTCAGGGTAAGCTAATTTGTTTAAAATTTCTTAAGCCTCTGTTTTGAACAATGATTGTGTTCAAAAGATGCTTAGAAAAATACATCAGCATACATATTCCTCTTGTACTTTTGTTACAGCCTGTTCTACATGTTTTCTCCTAGCAAGTAGAACTTTAATTAGTTACTTACAACAAAGCAAGAGGGAAACTCGTGAAAACCCAGGCATTTATTTGAGACACAAAAATTGAAGCAGCAATTTGTTACAGGCGCATGTCAGTTTTGGGGTTTCTCGGATACCCAGTTAAGTTGGTAATACAGCATGTATACAACTCTTTTTGCATCATTTGTATTTTTTATGCCATCATGTAGATGAACAACTTCTCTTCAAAGGTCATAATGATAAATGTTACTAATATTCTGAGTTTTGGACAAAAGATATCTGAAACTGTCTAAATACTGTGTTGCCACTCAGCCACATTGTAGAAAGCTCAGATTGCGATCTGAATCCAGTATCTTTTGTTTTTACGTTACTGTACTACCCTGACTAGCAAAATTAAATGTTGTGATACCTATTTCCCATGGCAAGGAAATCCTAACCACAGAAATTTAACCAGTTATTTCTTTGTTGCAGGTAGTAGCTTATGATTTTGATCAGGCTGATGACAGATTGCAAACTCCATACCATGAAACTGTCTACTCCTTACTGGACTCTCTCAGCCCTGCATATCGAGAGGTGTTTGGGAATGCATTACTACAAAGACTAGAAGCTTTGAAGAAAGACAGTCAGTTGTGATTTACCCACATGCAAGGAAGTTTTCATCTAGAAAGAACTGTTAATATGAGGCTCCGAGATCTTTCTTACAAACGTAATCACAAGCATCTTAAGCTTCATTTTTTACATTAATATCCCATTCATGCTAGTAATACTCTGTAACATTTTGCTACAATGGATTTGCATATATCACAGTGCTATTAAAAGCCCCTTTGATAAATAACAAGCATTTCTTAATTTTACTTTTTTGTTGTATGTGAGCAGGTTGCTTCTTACAACCTTCAAAAAATTTGGTCTCTTTTCAGAGTTACTATCCAAACTTTAAAAAAAGAGAGTGAATGTTTAATATACAAGTATTAATTTTTGTGTTTGTGCTTACTGATAGTTTTTCATATCTGCTCTTTAAAATAGAAGCTAACTACTTGCTCTACCCAAATAATGAAAAATAATTGGGAAAACTACTGTTCTGCAAAGAACAGAATTTCAGCTTAATTTGCTGCACATTTGTTAACAAGAAAGATGGTTCTTCAACAGTCAAACATTGCTTATATAGTGACAGTATTTGAGTTAAAAGCAAGCTTCAGTTTTATCTGATCAGTCCTCGTCTATAGCAACCAGCAATTTCCAAATAATAAATGAGATGTACTGCTAATATATGAATGTATTGTCTGAATTGCAAGAGTTAAGCACAGAGTTTGGATGTAATGGGCTACCTTTCCTAAATATGGTGTTATATATGCTATATATATGTATGTTATATTGTAACTGGGAGGCTTGCAAGACATTTTAGCCTGTTTACTACTCTGAATGTGTGTTTACATGATGTACAGGATATATCGAAGAGTATTTTTGCTTCAGCCTTTACTTTCTATAATACAGTACTTTGGTACTCCTGTTTTTCACATTTTATCCTTCAATTGTACAGCGTCCTCTCCTAATGAATACTATGTAAGCACTGTAATTTTAATTGCATTGTATTGGTTTGAAACCAAAGGCGGTATGAAATTTGCTAAGACTAATACAAACTGGAAGAGATAACTTGTATTTTCTACTTGCAAACTGGTACAAATCTCTTTATGAATCTATTGTTCTGCTGTAACTTTTCAAGTATGTACTGAATGGTAGACTTTTTAAAATTACAGTTGGTTAGAAATACTGTTGAACTAACATTCTGTGATTATCATACTTTTTGTATTCTTGTATTATTCAGTATTTGTGCATATTTATTTAAATAATCCCACCATGCTTTTGTAACAGGTAGGTGCAGTAGCTTTTTGGGGCCACACTTAGAGATACATCAGTTTTCATGAAGTCACAGATTCCAGTGACTTCAGTAGAGCTATATTGTCTTCTACCTGCTAAGGGTTATTTGTGTTAATTGGAGAAGCCTTGTAGTGGTTTTGTAGTAGCTTTGGGGTAGTGATGTACAGCTGTGACTGACAAGATAACTGTAGTTAGTGCTTCTGCTTTCCAGAGCTTGTTATCATTTTAGGTTGAAACTTCTGATATTAATCCTCTGCCCTAGGGTATGCTTCCATGCTGTAAAAATTGTTCATAGGCTCTCTTTTGCACACAGGTATGTGGTATGTGGTTAGTCCTCTGTGAGGAGAATGTACTCAAATTTATATTTGAATATTTTTCCGTGCAACTAATTTACTTGATGAATTTCAGTAACTAAAGCATTAAATAAGTAAACTGGTGTGTTGTAGTTTTCTTGGGGGGAGCCATTGAAAAGGGGGATAGAGAACAAAGTCATCATGCCCATAAAAAAAAAAAACAAAAACAAAACAAACAAATATTTAACAACCATTTGAAAACCTTTGACTGTAAACTTGTGTCTGCTGAAACTTAGTCATGGGAAAACAAGGCAGGTGATTGTAAAGAGGGACTTGGAAAGGAAGTGTTAGAAATGCAAGTGGAAAAATGCCAAATTAAATGTTACATTGCTAGGATACTTTGCTGCCTTGACATCTTTAAAATACTTTGTTATTTTGTGTGCTTATTATAAACATAAGCTAAGAAATTCTTTAGAAACAGGTGTTTTGTAGGTGTTACCAGAAAGAAATTTGTTTAGTATAATGTCCTGCAGTGTTAACTCAAGAATGGGAAAGTTATGACACTTCTCTGTGTCTGGGGTACTGAGCGTGAAGAAAATGCTCCCTATCCCGGTTGTTGCCTGTATGGAAGGAGCTTCTTTGCAGCCCTGGCAATGGAGAATTTAAATAGGTCTCTTTTTGGCTCTCGGTTGTTTTCATTATCCGAACCCCTGAATGAGTCCTGATTGGTCTAATGTAGCTGTTAATCTATGAATTACCAACAAAGCCTCACAGCCTGCCTCCTACCTGAAAGGTACATTTTGTTCTGTTCGGCGTCGAGAAACTGGGGAAAAAAGTCTCTAATTTATTGACTACCGCTATCGCTGTTTGCAGGACAAATTTAGGAAAAAAAAGGGGAGCGCGCCCATGCCCCTAGTTCCTGACCCGCGCTGGCTCCGGCCCCTGCCCGCAGGGCAGGCGGCAGCGCCCCTCGCCGGCCGCAGGGCAGGCCGCAGTGCCCGGTACCGCCACTGCTCACACTGCGCAGCCGCCGCTGGTCGCGCAGCAACGGTCCGCGTCGCCGGCACAGTTTGTGGCGATGTCGGAGGAGTCGGCGCAGGGCCGGCGGGTCTTCCTCAACCATCTCGACTCTTACTGCGGCCGCAGCATCGGCGAGGTGACCGCGGAGGGGCGGTTTCTCCCACAGCGGTCGCTGCCTGAGACGCCACCGCCCTCCTGCCTGCCCCAGCCCTTCACGGGGAGCTCCCGCCTGTCCCTCGGCTGGTAGCGCAGCAGGAATCTCTGGTTGGCCTCCAAGGTGGCTGGGATCACCTAAAATAGCTGCTAAGGAAATGAACTGGGGGCAAGAAGGGATTAAAAGGAGGAGAAAAATGAAAGTTAGGGGCAGGAGGTGTGGATAATGCAGGTCGGGAGACCTCAGGCAACAGCTGATCGCTGTGGAGAGAGAACAGATCTCTGAGATAACACCAGCCTGAGAAGAGTCAGGCTGTGAAGAGACACCCAGGGACTCCTTTGACTTTGAGGTGTAGGATGTAAGTCATTACATATGGGGTTGAGGAGTCCCTAATGTTTTCCTGTTCAGTGGAAAGGTGTGTTACTTACAACAGGATCAGAGGTAGTTGGGACCTTCCCAAGATCATGAGAAGCTGTGTAGGGTTCAATATATATTTGCATACAAGTGTGTGTCTTGTATAATTGCAGTATTTATCCACATGTGTTGTTGGGGCATCACTTGAAAGCATAGAAGAGGAGGAGGAGGAAGAGGAAGATAATTCGGCTGCTGAAGTTTCTAATAGGCCAAAGGAGGGAGTCTACCGAATAGTGGGTACCCTTTCTAAACCAGAGAGTACTAAACCAAGTTTTGCAGAGGAAAGGTATTCGGTAAGTGTTTTACTTCAGATTGCTTTAGACAATAGAAATATTGACATGAAATAGGTCATGTAAAATGGCCTGCATTAATAAACTGGTATTTTGTTGCTGCTGGCAGCTGTACACATGTATTTTGTTTCTTCTGCTTCCTCCATGCTGTTGTCTTCTCTGATAGGTCTGATACAGCAAATTGTAGAAGGAGGGAACTCAGACTCAAAGTAGACTTTTTAGAAAATATAGTTATGGACAGGACATCATCTATCTTCATGATCTGCAGATCTGCTTTCTTTTTTCCTTCAGAACACACACCTCAAGTGTCTCTTGTCTCTTCTGTGTCTTTTATCACCATTTTAAAGGTAGTGGTGCTGGAATCAAAGTTAGTGTCCCCCTTCTTAATTCTTCACTGAAATCAGCTTTCACTAGCAGCTAATTGTTCTGAATACTTGGATCTTTTTATGAAGATATGTCCAGAGTTTAGTTAACTGTAAGAGACTTGCTTTTAAGAATGTAATTGCTTATTGCTTGATTTAGTTTTCTGAAACTAAAGTTGCCTCTGTCTCAAATTGAACATCCAGAATCTCTTCAAAGATTTAAAAAATATTAGTGTAAACCTCTATACAGCTGAGCTGTTCAATCATTAATTTATGGCTGGTGGAATTTAATCTTAATCATTACTCTTGCCCAAAGTGTTTGTTGGACTTGCCCAAGTGATGCAAGGAATACAACAAAAACAACAGGATGCAATTTTGCAAGTAAATGGACTTCTTTTTTTTTTGTCTTCTCCATTCTGCCACTTTGTTTAGAATGACTATAAAGATTATTTTTTTGATACTCACAATTGCACTGAAAATATGAATCCTGAAATATCAGTAAAAATTGTACATCATCTTGAACTATATTAATGTGTACTGTAAATTAGAAGTTTCAGCATTTGATTTACATTTCATCACTTTATTTGTAAAATTTGATACACGTGTTATGAATTATTCTAACATCCTACTTTTAGAAAAATACATTCTACCAGTAAATTAAACCTGAACAGAAAGAAGGAAATTTTGGATTTTTTTTTCTCCTTTTTTTCTTTTACTTAATGACAGATAATAACAATCTTTTTCTCCAGGTGTCTTCTCGAGAAGAGTTCTTAAGTCACTTGCTTGAGTGTGAGATTGTTTTGTATAATATCACTGAGGATGCAAACCAAATAGAGGAAGCGATATGGGCTGCTTCTGGTTAGTATAGCTATCAACTATAACAGAAAGCTTGTTGCTATACAGCCATCAAAATTTACCATAAATGTATAATGAAATTCTTTGAGATTTAGAGTTTACTGTAATATGAAACTGGGTTCCTTGATGAAGAAATGCCACAGGAATTGTTCTGTTAGTTAGCAAGGAGCCATGGAATTCACACTAGCATTCATAAGGTAGAAAAGCTGTCATGGAATGCTCCAGCAAATAACGTATCTGTGTAGGCAGTTATTTCCCTAAATAACTATCAACCATCATCTTATCTATTTACACTGGGAGATGGGTAGAATATTTGCTCCTGTAATATTCAAATAATGTTTCAATATTTTATGTAATTATTTAAAAAATATTTTTACTTAGAAGTCCAATAAAAAGTACTGCTAATGGTCTTTCTGAGTCTTTCTCCTGATTGTTAGATCCAATTTCTAATGATTATCTAGAATCTTTCTATGGCAACAGCACAGTATTGTTCTTTATATGATAGTTAAGCTAAATGATGCTTTCCTGTTTGTAGCATAAAGACTTGGATATCATCGTAAGTTACATAACTCACATTTAATTATTTTGCTTTAAATTAAAATAAGGAAGTTTAATTCTGTAGTTTTTATATTTCAGTCATGACAAAACCCACACTTTTATTTTCTTTCAGTACCTTAGTAGTCAATAAACATTAATAGTTCATTTCTTCCCATAACCCCACACTCAATATATAGCTCTTTGTAGGTTATGTTTATTTACAGTAATTTGATTCTTTATTACCATTATTTTTCAATTTTTTTATTTACTGATTATTTTATACCAACCCAAATAAAGAGTATTTGCTTAAAAATACATAACCCATTGAACATTATGGTATAAATGTCTATACAGGACCTTTATGTAAAAGCAAAAATACAGTTCGAGAAATACAGTTCAAAATAAATTAAAAACTTTTCTTTCATTTAACAGCCCTACATATGGAAATAGAGCATTTTGCAACACAGAAGTTATTCATCCTCATTTCAACAATAATGAGCTGGGCAAAAAGCAAACCCCCTGACCCCGTGAGTAATATGAAAATGTGAATTATTTATTTTTAACTGAATATTTCCATTGAATAGAAAATATTCATTAAATTACATTAAACAAAATATTTTATTATGTACTTCAACAATAGCAAATGAAGCTAGTGTCAGCAAGTGTGTTTTTTCTCATGATCCTTTTGCCCTGAACTTACTGCTGAAATTGTTAAATTTATTCTGTTGGACAATTTAAATTGGTAAATTTATTTTGTCGCTGGTAAGGCACTGGAATGAGTTGTCCAGGGAAGCTGTGAATGCTCCATCCCTGGCAGTGTTCAAGGCCAGGTTGGACAGAGCCTTGGGCAACATAGTTTAGTGTGAGGTGTCCCTGCCCGTGGCAGGGGGGTTGGAACTAGATGATCTTAAGGTCCTTTCTAACCCTCACTATTCTATGACTCTAAGAAGGCTACGATGATATAGGCAGGCATTAGGAACTGCTCAGACAAGACATTAAAGCTATGTTAACCACAACATGCTGTGTCTTTCAGTCATGAAAAAATCCCATATTTACTACATATTTGATGAAATACGTATTTAAATTAGTGTATGGAGAGATAAATAGATACATCTTTATATATGGTAAGTATCATCAGGAGCCATGGGGTATGCTTTGTAGTATGCTGTTGCAGTTCTCAAATTCACTGTTACAGAAATAGTTTTTCAAGCTTCTGTAATGCTGTATATATAATTAAAATTCACGTTTCTTAAAATATAAAAAGTAGTTTAAAATCTTACTGTGAAAATTGAACTATTGAAGCTTTCAAAATGTTGAACCTCAAATATCAGAATCAGAAATTTTAATAATTTAAATTAAACCCAAGTTAAAACAGATTTTAAAACTATTTTGAAGAACTTATTTTAATCATTTAGCCCTTTAAATATTGTCCTACAACATGTGTAGCAGCTACATTTTTTCCTTTGCAGGAAGATCCTGCGATTGCTTTTACTGATGAAGATTATCG